TTTCTTCACACTCGATATCTTCTATAATTTTAGAACGGTTTTACGAAGTGTGCTCTCGTAATATGTGCTATGCCGATTTGATCAACCGGAGGCTTCCTGTCCCGGCATCCTCGAGAAATAAAAATAAAACTGCGCGAAAATTATACCCCAGCCCGTTTCGAACGATTCCCATTCAAAACAGGGAGGAATTTGGGCAAGGATGAGATCACCTCTGATAAAGCAGGCGATTATTTAAATCTGCATTATTTTATGGGCCTCGTATCCTCGAAGACCTGCCTTCGAAATTGAAAAGTCCCCGAAGACCCGAACCGCGGTGGATCTTCCGATTCTTTATCGGTCCTTGACCACTCTCCTCTGAATAACTTCACCTTCTTCGACCGGCTCTTTAAAACAGACAATCCTTTTCCAACCATTAGGACTTTTTCTATGGAAAACAATTAACTTCGACCAGGCCGCCGGTTACGGGAACCGTTCTTTCCGGTATCTCCAAAAACTAACATTTAGATAAATATCTAATGCGTGGCTTTCAAGTTTTTTACTCACCGTCGACGTATTGTAACAAGCTTTCTGGGGTTTTTTGTACTTGCTCCTTCTTTAGTTTATTCCCAAAATTCTCGACGTTTATGGTTGACTAAATTTAATCCGGAATGACTGGTTTGTTAAAAAAAGTTTTCTTCTTTTCTTTAATCAAGTCATCGATTTCGTTCACTGTTTAAAATTTATACAGATTATAGAAAAACTGGGAAAAGTTAAACGGAATTTATCTCAACTAAAAACCTTAATTAATTGTAATATATTAATTGGTCAAGCGGACCACGAAATTAGTGAATTTAATGAATTAAACTGAAGTATACTTCACTAAAGCTCTCCGTGGCCATTTCATTTGTCGNAGATCGAAACGTTGGCACGATAAAGAAAATGTTTTTCTGAAACCTACATCACACCCGACCGCATCTCACGATATCTGAATAACTATCGATTAACGGTCACTAATCTCTACATATTTGTAATACATTGATTGGTCAAGAGAACCACGAAATTAGTGAAGTTAAACTGAATATGGATTATCTGCGTACCGAACCTCCTCGACAATACATGTCCACAATAACCCAACCTGGAAATCATCCAGGTCGGCTGAAGAGGTGTATAAGCACCTAGGGATATGCTTCAGTATGAAGGTGCATCACCAGTGGGTGGCATCTCCCATCATATTTATAATGTTATGAATTACCAAATTTACTTATTGTAACTGCAGTTACAGGTGTAAATAATAATTATAATAATAGAAAAAAATTAACTATCCTTAACATCAAATAAATCCTTTTTAATTCAAATTAGCCCTTTTTACCTTCAAATTAAATCTTTAATTGTTAATTAATCGTTTTTAACTACCAATAAATCCTGTTTCATTTCAAATTAACCCATTATTTAAAACATCATAAAAACCTAGGAGTTAGTAATGTAAGCCCGTAAAGTAAAATTTCTAACATTTGAAATTTAAAATTATTACTATTTTTTTAGAAAACCATATCAAATTTAAGTACTATTTAAATTAAAAATTAAATCTAAAAAAAGGATTCCTCATTTAATTTGGGATTTTTGTAAATATATTATAATCGGGGCTCTAAAAAAACACAATTTCTCAAATTAATAGATGATACCTTTATTTTTATCTTTAATATATATCATTTTTAATTTTAATTCATTTTATTGGATGTTCTAAGAGCCCAATTATTTTATATTAAAAAAATTCTCAGAAATATATACAGGACTTTCTTTGCTTGGTTTTACTTCATACCACCATAACTAAGGTTTATTTTAATACTTCTAATACTACCACGAAAGGATTTTTCAAATTTAAAAAAGTTAATTTCAAGTTAAAAAAGGGGGGGAATTAAAAACTTAAAATGAACTTGAAACTCAACTCAATTAGTACAAAATTGTAGGCCTTCTATTTATTTAAATATGGGACTTTGACAAGATTTCTTTAGGAAATAAACTAAATTTGCAGCATTTATTTATCAAAAAATCAAGATGTATGCAAATGCAAACAAACGATATTCTATTGTGTTTTTTTAACTTTTTATTACCAGATGCATACAATATCCGAAATGTACTTTATGAAATCGTATAATTTCAGAAAGATTTTTAATAATGGTAGCATGTAGACAGAGAAGAGCTCACGTAACCTTAGTTCCACTTCATTTCAATCCTGGAGGGTCGTGCGTCAAGAATAATGGATTTGAAAAACCTTAATCTTGGCGGGCATTTAATTACTTTAAACAATCCTTCTTTTTTTACTCTCACGGTCGAAATTCGCTTTATTCAATATTAATAAAACTCATTTAATAACTCGCGGGCCGTTTTCAAAAGGTGGGACCCGGCCCGTGGAAAATCGCCGAGCCTCATTAAACCCAAATATCCCGATATGTAAAGGCTGGAAAATCAAATATCCCTTTTGTAAAGTGAAAGGCGACCATGACCAATCAATGGTGAAATGTGAAAAAGAAACGCGTCTCGAGGCAAATACACACCTGTGCACCAACAAATTAATTTTTTTTTATCCTTCTCTTTAAGAGCGGGGTTTTTCTCATTTTCCTTCATAATGATGCAAGGATAACCTTTGTCATGAAAGGGCGTTAAACCCTCGAGGGCTCCAAAACGTGCAGCTGAATTAAATAATAAATATATATTTTAACTCTAAAATATAATCAATAATCGCCCTTAACATTTGTAACTGCTTAGTAATAAACAAAATTGTGAAATATCTCATTGAAGTCTAAGTGTTGTTTAACCCCGTAGTTTGGTCGTTTCAGATCATCCTGACTTGCCTGCCATCCCTGTTTAAGCCCATCAGATACTATTCAACACTGCGACATGTTCAATTGTGGTTTGGCTTTTAACCCTGAGCCTCTGATATGCCAAACTAGCGCAAACAGGCAACCGATAATGGATGGAAACAGCCAACAGAATTTCATAAATAAAGTAGTACAAAACATGCTAATTCCAACAACCAAGAATTCATGTTGTCTGTAGGGGTGATGTAACATGGTTTGTGTTTTTGCCTCACCCTGCTTTAACCAACCGTGACGAGCCAATGAAGATGCTTTTCAAACTGCCAAAACGAGTCTGAGAAAAGAAAACAGACGATGATTGGAAACGACTACGAGTAAACATAATATAGCGTCAACAAGATTCTTCAAATGAAAATTGACAATTCTGAAATACATAATTGAAAGAAAAACGCCTACAGATATTCGGTAGAATAATAATTTACAGTTTACGCAACCAATTCGGAATTATGGTTACGAGTTTCGGATAAAGGTGGCTCCAGACTGCGGTATTCGCCAAATGACGATTGCCGCCGAATATGAGCCGAGTCTCGAGATGCTCGTCTTTGCATTCGCCAAATAGCGTGCCTAGTGAACACAAATGCGGGGTTTGCATAACCTGCGGAAACAGCGAATATTTATTCGCCAAGTGCCGTTCGAGTCCTATACTTTTCTACCCAATCGTGATAGACAACACTGAAACTGTCTTTACTGCAGCTGTGGTGACTGTTTTGTTCAGTGGCTACAAACTATTTAAAAAAATATATATTTAAGTGTATTTTTTATTTATAAAAAAATTTATGATTCGTAAGATAAGCTTTCCAAATTATTGGTTATGTTTCGTAAACATCGAGGAACTCCAAAACTGTAGCGTTGGGACAATCCATTCCTAATATATAAAAAACTGTTCTTATGGTGTAAATTAGTACATCTATACTAGTTACGAATCGTTTATTAATGAAAAATAAATAGCATTAAATAGACGTATACACATACTTTTGTTAACAGTTCACAATTGGGTAAGGTATGTATACTTCTTATTTATTTATTTTTTAATAAACGATTCGTAACTAGTATAGATGTATTAATTTACACCAATAACAAGTTTTTTTTGTTTTGTTTTTTAATTATTAGGAAAGGGTTGGCCAAAGCAACAGTTTTGTAGTTCCTCGATGTTTACGAAACAGAACCAATAATTTGGAAAGTCTCTCTTTCAAATCATAAATTGTTTTATAAATAAAACAATAAATTAAAAAATTAAAAGCAAATAAATACAAAAAAAATTGTTAAATTTTTTTTATTAGTTTGTAGCCACTGCACAAAACAGTGACCGCAGCTGCGCCAATATCAGTTTCTCTGTTGTCCATTACGATTGATAAGTCTCGAGACTTGGCGAACACTCGAGTAGGTGGGATAAAATTGTAACCCAGCACCATAGCATGATTTTCATGTAGGAGCATAAATCTACACCATACACCTTGTACTTGTCGAAATTCATCGATTGCAGGAACATGATTAGTTACATGATATCATGAACCTTTTCGTTCTTGTGAAAGACCCAGATAAATTAAACTTGTTCCATAATCAAATTTATATATCTCAGTTTGTCGCTTCGATCTAAATAGGACTCGGTTGCGATTTCTCGATTTTTTTAGGCTCGTACAACAAGGCCAATTAATCGGATTCGGTTCGCGTTTGATATTCAGAGATAAGCCTTTACACTCGTATTATCCACATGTTGGTTGTCAGTCATACCAGATTGAACAGAGGCCCGCCGAGCGTGAATAAATCGAGACCAGTACGAGTCAATATCGTCCGCCGAGTAACGGACGTCGGTTGCGATGAATCTGCGGTACCGTAACTCAGTCCGAGTCAAATCGACTGGCTCCGATATCGGCTCTAAGTATTCTCGATTCGGATGGCAATAAATTTAAACCGCCCCAGAAGTATTTATGACGGCGGAGATCAAAAGGCTGTAAATCCATCTCCGGCATTTTCGCTTTTCCAGGGCGGCAGAAGTGGGCGCGGTATTTACAGACGGCAAATATCACTGTAAATAAGACGTCTGAGTCGGCGATTCAGCCTTTTATGGGCCAACGGCACACCCACGGCGTTGCGAAAATGTCAATGAAGTATGAACAAATTCATTTAAGAATATTGAGTTCTTACCTTCGTTCTGTTGACGGGATTCGTGAAGTCCCAGCCCGGAGCGACGAACAAATAGCCACATTTGGCAACCTTTCTCGCCGCCTGTAAATAAAAATAAATGTGTTACACTAGTTATACTTATACGACTTAAATTATAATGAAATATTGGGTTGTAATTTCTAAATAAATTTTAATAAAATAGACAAATTGTGCTGATGGTTATAATCTTGTTAAGTTTAAGAAGTTTTGAGATAAAAGCGTTGCCTGGGATTTGCTAACTGGCGAGCAAGTCTGTTCTTTCGTAAAACTATTTAAAACTAAGCTTTTGGTTTACTAACCACATGTTAGTTGCTTATAATTAATTTGATTTTGAAAAATGGAGAAACCGGAAAACGACGGAGAATGGATGGATAGAACGATCTGAAAGGACTAAACTGAAGTCTGAAAATTGAGATACTATTTAGTATATATAATATTAAATAATAATATTATTGGTGTCTGATAAGCAAAACAGCGAGAATAGTTGGATCAAGATGATCTGAAAGAGACGAACTGAAGTCTGAGAATAGTACTATCAAGCCTTATCATATGGATAATTAAAACCTTTGGTGTCTGATAGATAAATAGAGACAAAGGGTGGATCAGGATGACCTGAAAAGACCAAATTGAAGTCTGAAAATTGAATAACTATCCAGTCATACGGTGGATCAAAACCATTGATGTCTAATAGACAAAACAGTGAAAATGGGTGGACCAGGATGATCTGAAAGGATCAAACTGAAGTCTCAAAATTGACGGACTATCTAGTCAGTCATATGGCTGATCGAAACGATTGAATGTACAAAATCCACAAGAATTTTTTTCAATTGTACACACAGTTACTAACGCGTAACGTCTTCATCATGCATATCCCTTGGAAGTCACGAAATTAAAAGGAAGAAATTAGATTGAGAAAGGAAAGCGAAAAAGGTGGTCAAATCGGGATAAAATTTAATTTAATCGTACAATTTTCTTCAGCCAATTTGGTAACAATCTATCAACTCAATTTTGGCAATTTCAACAAAATAAAGCAATAAATCATTATTAATAACTAATCATTGTGTAAGGTATTGGTTGAGATAAAAAGTCAGTGTCACGAGCGGGATTCGATCCCACGATCTTCCGCTAAATACGCCGCTGCTGTACCACTTGAGCTGTCGTGACACTGACTTTTTTATCTCAACCAATACCTTACATGAAGATTAGTTATTTGAAAGACGTTAATTGGTCAATCGAACCCCGAACTCTAATGGATTATTAATAATGATCAAAAACTTTTAATAAAACTTCCAGTACAAATGAAGACATGTATGGTAGACGAAAACCTAGAACTTTACGCATAGCCCCATCTTTTTTAATATATATTAAGTATTTATATATACAATCATCTATTATTTATTGGGCCGACAATAAAAGCAATCGTTTGTTTTCCTGTAAACGTATATTCTAATAAAATACTTTCCCGTCTTTTATTATTTATGGCTTAGATAAGGAAAAAATTCCCAGTGAGTAAAAAAGAATTGAACTGATCTTTAGATCATTGCAGCGTCAAAGGCAAATCGTCAGACGCGAATACAAAACAGAAAATCTCTCGCTCTCTCTCACACATAAAATTCATTTTGAGAAAGAGCTATCACGTCTCATCGCTCGGTACCCTTCCAGAATATAACATCAAACTGGACTGACCGTATTTTGCGGGTATTATAATCCTTAGAATTAGGAAGAGTTGCTTTTTCAAAAGAGCTTTCGACAGAAAGTAAGGAGTTAAAAAAATTAATTGTACTTTTATGCCAAGATAATCAAACTTGATTAAATTCTTTCGGTTCATTTAATTTCTAGGGGCAAACCAGTATTCTGGGCGTTTTCTGATTATCCTGATCGGTCTGTACTCGCTTGGTCGGTCTGTTCAGCGTGTTTCAGCATTTTGCAATCTTACATAGTGTTGATGAACTTTTGAAAGTGAATAAACCTCTTCGTAACCCATACCGAAATGCGTCTGGTAGGCCGAATCAATGTGGATGCACGGAATAGGACGATTGGAAAGAAACGATCGTAAAGCTTACCCACGACACAAATTAAAAACGGAACGTCTTTTTTGTAAGTTTAAAGTTGTTCTTAGTTACCAAGAAAATGTGATGATATTTAAACGAATAAATAATCACTTAAAGGTGCTCTATAAAAAAGTGTACGTGCAGAAATTTGCGTTAAGCTATATTGATTCGATGTCTTCACATATCAATTGGGCAAAACTAAAAAAACAGCAGTCTAACAGACCAGGAAAAGCATAAACGAAAAGAATCGAGAAGCTTTGTCAACCTCATAAGTGGGTTTATTGAGACCACTTTTGTATAAAAATGGGTTGTAAAGCAAGCAGCCTCTCGTCCTTATTTCAGTGTACGGCTTTCCATATGATTTATGGCTCGTAAATCAGTAAAAGAGAGGCATGGCAATTCGTCACTCATCTAATTGCGTGACTGAATTACGCCCTTAGTACTGTGGACCTGGCTCCGCGGGCCTTTCTTGTAATTATGATCCAATACATAAATATTTATGGACCTGTAAATTCGGCAAATTCAGAAAACCGCGATTAACACCTCAAAACGAAGACGTTATAATTAGAGAGGGCAGTGCCGTAGGACGTAGGTATTTTCCAGGACGTCAATGCCGATAAGAAAATTAAATATAAGAAAGATGTAATTAATATTTAGCCGGTGGGCGCCTGGTGGGCAACCGCCCATACCCACTGTTTACTTCGGTCGTTTTGTTTTCCCAACCGACGAGATGGCTTATCGTAGCTATAGCATAATTGTTCCTGTCACGGTCCTTTCTGCGCAATTTTCACTTGATTGTTGTGATTATTAATTTCCGAGGAGCGGGTGAAACGACCTCTTCCCTCTTATGTCGCAGCAAACACATGAATGAAAAGGTAGATACTGGAGATGCAGCGATATCGCACATACATAGTCCTGATACAAACAAGTTTAAGTAGTAGTAAAGACAGAATTATGAATATTGCTTCTGCGCCCCTAATTATCATGGACAAAATATCCAAAAGGAACGTTAAAGACGATTGTGGCATTCAAATGTTGTACATACCAATTACTTTAAATTGAAAACTTCAGGAGTTAACAGATTACACAAACATGTTGCCAGAATGATAACGACATTCTTTGAGATTTTGATTATTTTCAAATCAAGCCAAAAGATGAAAATTAGAAGACTCAGTATAGAGAAGTCATTTGGGTCCCAGACAAGCGTGCTATAGCAATTAGGTTTCTTAGTCAACTTTTCTAAACTAACTTTGAAATATTATCTCAGGTTTCTCTATTTTATGGAGTTTTTCCAGCCAAAGATCGATTGAATTGTCCTATTCTTTAGATGGAAAACCACTATAAAATTTTGAAACCTGAGATCATATCAACGCCTGCAACAAAAAACGTCAGCATTGAAAAAATATACAGGTGAGAAAAATCAGTCAGTCTGTAATAGAACCAATGCGCAACAACTACGATGTGACGCTGAAAACGTAACGCTTATATGTTGCGCGTCGATGTTACACTCACCGTGTGGCCTTGCAACTATAAAAACGACATAAAATGGATTATTTTACGACCATCTAACAAACCTGACCTTTTTAAATTTAGATTCGGATCAATAAATTAGGTCGAAAATCTGACACTCAAAACTATAACAACAACAGCATACTCTGTACTGAAACATAGAAGAACCTTTAATACTAACCTATTCAGTACTAACAGACCACTGCTTAAGTCAGAAGACTACTTGAGCTAATGAACAATTCGAAACATTCAAGTTAAAATTGTCATCTGAAAATGACAATGACAAAAATCGACCTGTCCGTATACAATCTGTAGACGTGAATAAGACAGTAAGTAACAAAGAAATCGAATTTTTAACAACTATTTTTTTTATCTGAAAACTGGAAAGCATCTACGCAATAATCATAAAAGTCATAAAACGTGAAACATCTTCTAGCTGTGGCCTTTAATTGTAACAGTTGTTGTATATTACTTTAATAGCTGATATTTCTGGGTCCGTGTACTCCTTGGTTTATGTTGCCTTAATACGCGTTTCGGCGTCATGCCATCTTTAATGAGGAATTGCGGTTGGTTAAGGTAGAGCTAGTCCTGCTACCGTAAACAGAATAAGTTATTACATTGTAAACATAAATTGTATAAGGGATGTCAATCCTAAGCTAGGAATGCGATAATCCCACGAGTACTGACATACCTCCCAACATGCCACCCACCTCTTCTGATAAACCTCTCGAACAACTGCGGAAAAGCAATTTCACCTGTGTTCAATACGGGATTTTCCACTTATAGGATTTCTTGTCGACCTACAGGAGTGGTCACGGAGGGGATTTCAATTACGGCAGTCTTGGGTTGCGGAGAAAGGGGATTGGTATCGAGGATCGGACCGAATTCATATCCAGTTTAACACGTCCGAGTCCTGTTCACCTTGTTCACGCTGACAAACGACACTATATCACATTTTAGTGTTAAGAAATGCCGTTCTCATTTTCAACAAAATACACAACGATGTGACTGCTCATCTACCCGGACCCCCTCCAGCAATAACGGCGACAAGGATTTTATCCGAGCTATCTCAATTAAGGGCGTATTGGAATCTTTAGAGCTTTTAACGATAATAACGACTTAGACGATTTCCTGGAAAAGCCTTTGTATCAAGCCAATTTGTCGATAAGGGCCCTGGTAGTGATTAATGATGAAATTCCCTCAAGTGCTCACTATTTGTGATATTAACAAGCTATTTACCGACTACAGTCATAGATGTAAGAACGGGTGTTTATCACTAACGGGGCTAAAGCAATCTATGCTTCCTTCTATAATGACAATTTCAGAGCAATCTAGAAAGGTTGAAACCAAAGTCCTTTCCCTCAAAATTTTCAAGCATTTGAACATAAAAATATCTTATAACATATGCGACCTGAATTTGTGAGTGAAATCAAGATTATCAAGAAAACATTTCTTTAATTCTATTGGATTTTCATGAATTTCTTAAAAGAGTTTTTTTTTTTA